CTCCCAGCACTGTAGTTAAAAGTGATCTGAGTGGCCCTAGGGCAGCCCAATCACTTTTCTGGGACTTTCACATGTTGTCAGGCCCCCTCTTCATGGTTCCCAGGGCCTTCCCACTCCTCCTTAAAGACCCCAATAGTCGCTGTTAGGATGCCATGCGGGAGGACAATGAAGATCTTCTGTTTCCAGATGTTCTCTGCAGAGAATGAACCTGGATGCACCCAGCTCTGAGCACTTGTGGGTTCAGAGCTGTCAAAATCCTGGCTGCAAAGTCAGGTAAACAGAGGCTCAAGCATGGTCTGTGTTTGATCGGCAGGGGCAACGTTATGGGTCTAGTAGAAAACGATGTCTCGTGTAAAGAGCACCTCTCTGCTCCATTGCGGCGTGAACAGGGTACATTTGTTTTCTTTATGTCCTTGTAGAGACCTGCATTGCTCAGGTTCAGAGAAATCCAGGTCTCAGGACTTAGTGTGAACAAGCCGTGACTGTTAACTATAAAGTTGAACTAAACATGAGGTGTAACGGCATTTAAAGCGTCGCTTATTGATTATTCATGTACCATAATTTCTTGCAGTTTTGAGCTTGACATATTTGGTATCTATTTGACACAATCTCATCTTTTATTTGCAAAAAATTGGGGATTTTATAGTGTTTGTGTTTTGTTGTGCACGCCTTTAAAAGTAGTGTATTTTGTACTGAAAATATAGGTGCAACAAAACAGTTGCCCAAATTTTGTTTTAAAGGAGAACTATGGGATCAGTGCTTTTCCCCATAGTTCTCCTAAGGGGACCGGGAGGACACAAACTAGTGCCCTCCCGTCACCCAAAGCTCAGTATACCGCGAGCTGTAGCTGAGACGCCGCAGCCGGAACGGATCCTGACAATGCTGTCTGTATCCACCCAGCTGCGTGAGTGACAGCTGGCTCTGCCTATCTAGAGGCAGAGCCAGCTGTACCCGCCCCCTTCCCCGTCCGTTCCGACAGTCAGCGCTGGAGGATCGAACGGGGGGGGGGATATATCCCTGCAGGGAGCCGTGAGTGACGGTCACGGCTCTCTGCACGGATAGATCGAGAAGCGAGCGAGCGCCGGTATGTGTTCGCTCACTTCCCGATCTACAGAGCCGACCTGTGACAGTCTCATTGTCACAGGTCGGCTCAGATTATGAGACGTGAGTGAAAATCACTTGCCTCATAAATCATAATTCTCCTTTAATCCAAAAATTTAAACTATCATCTTTTTATTGCACAGGGCCTCTGCTTTCAGAAAATATGTCATGTTTACGGGATTTGGGGCATTTTTTGTATTAAAAAAAATCCAGATTTTAATGTGACAATTGCTGCGGTAGGGAAGTGGTTAAAGACCTGACATGTATTTTGTTTAAACAGGACATGCCATCACCTTTCTCAGTTCACATGACTCAGTAAGGCATATGACAGAGTTACCAAGTGTTATTGGCATGAGTTTAAAAAAAACATGGCTTGTGGGTAGCAGTCATTATTACAATTCTCTAGTCTGCTGTTTTTGGTAAATAGTGTAATGTAGGGTTTATAACATCAACATCATTAGTAAATACATTGATATTATTAACACATTAACAAACATTGCTAAGATTGTTTACTGCAGTGGAGGTTTCATATACAGGCAGGAAGGCTGAATAACTGCAAGAAAAAATTGGTACCTCCACCTGTCAAGCTCCCTGTCAGGCTCAGAATCATTTGCCCTTGGGGTTACCTAAAGATTATCTGGAAATTTGGGATTAAAGTCAACCTGTGTTTTGCCCATGCAGGGTAAACTAACAGATTTGCTGCTGCTCATGCTCACCTTTCTTTTGCATCCACAACTCCAGGCATGCGTTATTATGCATACTTACACTGGTCCAGATTGTCCCAATGTAAGTATGCATGTGTCATATACCTGATCGGCCACTGGAATCCTGTAAAGGATTGTAGTAGCTGGAGCTACTAAAATGCTGATAGTGATATTTTGGGTCCTGTATGGCACTGAGCGGAGTGGCTTCCCCTCTGGTCTGAAATCACAGGGGGTCACTCAGACGAGCCGTTTATCGAATGTCTAGTATTTTTAGCAATGGATACCAGGCATTCTCTGATTGGACATGGGGCGGTGATGTCACAATCTACCCCTAGTCTAATTGAAGAATGCCTTATATTGTAAAATACTAGACATGCTTTGAATAGATGCTGTGCTGAAGAAGCGACCCCCTGTGTTTTCAGAGCAGAAGGGAAATGCTCAGCTCAGTGCCATACAGGACCCCAAAGATCACTGTCAGCACTGTGGTAGCTCCAGCTACTACAGTGCTTTATAGCATTGGCTCTCAACCTGTGTAACCACAAGACCCACATTTGTCCTTGGGCTGGGTTCACACCTAGGCGTATCGAATATGCAGGGTTTTCACCGAGTTTCGCGTTAAAGAAAAACACGCGACAAACGCGCCTTTCCGAGGGCTACCTGGCTGTATCCCAATGGATACTCGCGGCAAATACGCCCCAAAGAAGCTCCTGTACTTCTTTGGGCATAGGGCGTTTTGCAGTGCGTTCCTACGCGCTGTACAACGACCAGGTGGGAACCATGCCCGTAGGCAATCATTGGTTTTCACATGTTGAGCGTTTTACAGAGCGTAGGAACGCGCTGTACAACGCCCAGGTGTGAACCAGGCCTTAGTCATTAAGTTGCTGCCCAAGTTGGAACTCACGGTATTACGGTACCGCATGTTTTTTCGGTGAAAGCGATCAAACTGTGGGCAGGAGGTGTGTTTGTGGTGCCATTCAAATAAATTGCAACGCAATGCACCTCCCCCACCAGAAAGAACAGTAGGTGCGATTGCATGTTAGTTTGCAATTAAAACACTGACAGACACACAACCACAGACACAATCTCACACTCACAAACATTCTCACACATACACACTCCAAAAAAATGTAGGGTTCCAATGTGGGCTGCTGTGCTGTGACGAAGCTCCCTCCATATGTGCATTGCTTGTACAGCTCCCTTACGCTCCCTGTAGAAGTGGCAGGTGCCAGATTGTGATGTCACTCCGGTCACATGAGGGAGCTGTAAGCAATACACAAATGGATGGAGCTCCCCCGCAGCCATACTCTATCTCAAACTGACACTCGTCACTAGGCAGAATATTTTTAATGGCTGCTCAGCACGAGAACTGACAGTGCTGCGCTATGGGGGAGGCTGAGGAACCTCTTACCTAGTGCAGTGGAAGGCACGTGGTGACCCCATGAATCCCCATGGTCGCGACCAACTTTTGGGTCCCGACCCACCAGTTGAGAACCACGGCTTCACAGGATATTTACACTGGGAAAAGCTGGACCAATGGGGCGCTGGTTCTGGAAATTTCCTTCGCTAAGTATCAAGGTATTTCCTCCTATTTTCTCTTGTGGCTCCAAGACAGGAATAAAAGGGAACTTACCCCAATGGGACACAGATGGCAAAAAAGCTTACTCTATCCAAAACCTAAGTAAAAGTTTTGGCTCTAGTTTGACTTTAAAAGTATAATCAAGTATATTCTAATTCATTTAATAATCAAGTATGATATAATTATACATATTTTGTACACTGGCCCTTTAAGACCTTTGTACAGTTCGCCGTCACTAAAGCAGAGGAATCGTTGATGATAAGAGAAGGAAGTACTTAAGAAAATCTGAAGATGCAAGCCGAATGACATTTGTTTTTAAAGCTATCATAATAATATGTAGTTGTCTTTTAAGTGACGTCTATATTATTTCTGATGTAAAATGCAATTCATAGTAATATTGTTGAAAGCCGTTCTGTGGGCTGGAATGAGGCAATTATCCAGCACAGCTATTTTTATTGCAGGTACATATGATAGAACGAGTATACTGGAACTGTTGTAAAAAAGCCTGGACATATGATTGCGTAGATGTGAACTACATAGTACTGTACGATGACAGATGGATGTGTGGCATTCACTGTGTCCTCGTGTGGAATTCAGCTTGTGATAAGCTGGACACAGGATCAGAGTATATAGCAGAATGCGTTGTCATCCCTCCCCCACACTTCTCTATGGAGAAGTGTCGGTGCTCATTCTTGCCTCTTCATTTGACTAGAGGCTGTTTCTGTGTTTGGGATGATGTGGATAGAAGAGGAGGTGGGCTTCCTTAGAATATCCCAGCTAGGGAAGAGGCGGGTGCATACCTGAGGAGGATGATGATGATGAGGAGTTCAGGTGGCCGCAGGCTGGAACAGCTTCCTGACTTGGAAAGGACAACCCGCAGAAGAACACCTAGGAGTGGCATTTCTGCACCCTAATTTCAGAACTGACGTGGGGGTTCCGTTCAGGATGTAGGAGGAGCTTAGAGAAGAACTGCTGCTGGAGTCTTTGGCGGCTGTCACCTTTAGTGAAAGCAAGGCGAAGAGAAAATTCTGCCATGTGGCATGTCAGGAGACCGAAAAAGTCTAGTTCCGACCTGGTGTGCCTTATGTGCTGCATGGGTCAGTATGCCTCCGGAAGAGGGGAAGAAATGTATTCTTTTTGCTTTGAAGGCTGCCTGTCTCACTTCCCCATATGCCTAAACCTCAGAAGGTTTAGCAATAATCCTTTTGCTGAGTTCACATCCTGGGGATAAACTTATGTGCCTGTGACACGATGGGGGTAGAAAGGCTCAGACAAGACAAACCTGTTATTGCAGTGTTTTTTGCATGACAGTGGTCATTCTTGTGTTAATTGGGCTTTCCTGCTTTTACTTCCTTCAGTCCCCCCACCCTGTACAACACATACTTATCTGCCTTCGAGGCCAAAACTCTGTCTTTGGATTATTGTGACTATCAGTTAATCCTGGCAGAGATTGGGCTGCAGTAGGACGGTTTGCTGGATTATCCTAATCTCTTTCATATAGAGGGTGGGAGAAAGTGCCTCTAGGGTGAGAGGTCGCACACTGGCTTCACTGGTTTAAGGGTTTGTGACATTGTCTGTGTGATTGGAAGTCTAATCTTTCTTGCTTGTTTCCTTTTTAGATGAACGAGACAGAGTGCAGAAGAAAACGTTCACTAAGTGGGTCAATAAACATCTAATCAAGGTAAATCATCTGTTTCATTTATTCTTTCCTGCCAATAGTTTTGGGAATGTGGTTATACCCTCTTGCCCTTCTTGAAGTAATGCCCTTAACTTGCTATAAACATGTTTTCTTTTAAAAGAAAAACTGTATTTTCCACAGGTAGAGTTGAATCAGTCAAATAATTCATTAAAAGCCATGTATTCCTTGTGGGAAATAAAAGAAATATTGGGCTGGAGCTTCATTGGCTGTTGTGTTATCCAGCCTTCATTGCTGTCCTGCCACTATGCACTGTCAGGTTGTCATTTGCTCATAGTAGCTCTTTAAAGTGGACCTTTACCCATATCTTTAAAATAACAACAAACACACCTTTATAAATGTTTAGTAATGACAATCTACAAACACATCCTTCACATTACAGGCTTTGTATTCTTTGCATTCCTTATTTCTCTTTTCTTTCCAAGTCTTCTGACTGTGGCCATGTTAACTGAGGGCAGATTACTGGCTTTCTGGCACAAGTGACTAGGCATGTGACTAGAACATGTGATCATGCACATCATCTCTGGGGAGGAAAATGCCTTTCCCTGAGATTTCCCAGCAATGCGCTGCTGATGACAAGGCAATCCCAGTGTGCATTGCTTTGGCAAACTGAAGTCATTTTGCCCTGTTAAGCAGGAAGTGAATGCTCTGTAAGTGTAAGTATTTCAAAATCAAAACATTTTGCACCTGACATGTCTATGTTATTAATCATCATACATAGAGGGATGCATTGGTATAATTTGATTTTTGAATGTAAAGGTCCGCTTTAAGTTCAAGTGAAGCCCAAACCTTCTTTTTTTTTTTAGTTTAGGGAGGGATTAGCACACATCAGGTTTTTAGTGCTGTCTGTGTCCCCATTCGTGACATTCACCCTCTCTTTGTTTTACATTTTGGGTTGTCATCAGAACAGGAATAGATGTGAAGTCTTCCAATGGGGACACTTGTTCTGCTAATCACCAGGGATTTCCTCTCACTTCCTGGCAGGAAGTGAAGGGAAATCTCCTGAATGGGACACAGATGGCAAAATAGCTAAGTTTAGGGGGAAAAGTGTGTGTGGGAGACTAGTGTATACTTCAAATCATGTAAATTCACAGAAAAAAAGCAACAGTGTTGAGTTAATCACTGTTCCATCCAAAAGATAGGAAAAGCGATACAACCGATTTGAAGCATTATCATGCAACTTAGGCTGGGCACACACCTTACAACCATCGCAAGACTTTTGTCTTGCGATGGTTGTAAGGTACTTAAAAAAACGTACGATCTGCCTATGTTGCATAGGCAGATCGTACTTGCGATGATCGCAAGCCACGCCCCCTGAGGGGCGGGCTTCCGATGACCGCAATGCCGAACGGGCAGTGTGCGCTTGCGCACACCAGCCCGTACGGCTGTTATCGTACGGACATGCCACAAACCCGCCGCACATCGTACGATGCTCGGCGGGTTTTCAAACATGTCCGTAAGTTTAAAGTCGTGCGACCTTACAGTAGTAGATGTCGCACGGCTTCCACACACCTTACGATCATCGTACGATCGCGGGATTTCCCGCGATTATTGTACGATAATCGTAAGGTGTGTGGGGACCCTTAGTCTCCATGGGTTTTACCAAATAAATTGCAACAGGTTCCAAAACAGGCAATTAATTGCATGCCATTTTAGTTGCATCTGTGTAGCTCTGTCAATTTCTATTACCCTGTTTCCTTTTTGTGGAGATTTCCCCTAACTTCTTTTCCTCTTGATACCTGGGCAGGAAAAGAGAATGAGCAGGTGTCGCCAAGACATGAAGACAGTGAAAACCTAACAGATGTTCTAACCCTTTCCCACTTTACTTAATAAAATGCTTTTGTTGCAGCCTCTGTCCTTCTCAGAGAGATATCCTAATTTCCTGACCTTATGACGCAGTAAAAACCTAACATAAGTTCTAACCTTTCCCCTCCTTCATTCAAACCTAAAACAAGTTTTGTTGGAGTTTGGTTTCAAGATAAAGCTGGCCATACAGTGTGTGAATTTTTGCGGGTTCTTGATGAACTGGCCGAAATTCGTTTAGTGGGTGCCCTGTCAGCACTTTTCCGTCCTTCAATCAGAAAATCGATGGCGGCGGTGTGACATTTTTTGGGTTCTCTGACATCAACACTGCCGCTGTCGGAATACAAATATAAGGGATCCGTCCATCCATGCTGGTCTCTGCACCAGAGGATCTTGCATTCTAATGTCCCCCCACAGTCACACACTATTATTTGTATGCATTTATATAGCTATGACATACACCACAGTGCAGTACAGAAAACACTGAACAAACCGACACAGTCACAAACCGACTCTGCACCAGAGGAGCTTACACTCTAATGTCCCCCCTACAGTCACACACTAGGGATGCACCAATACCATTTTGTGCCGTATGTGATATGCCAAGCAGGGCATAAATCTGGGGTCCGCTGTGTATATATCAGGTAGGGACATATTGGGGATCTTCTCTGTCATATACCAGGCAGAGTACATATCTGGGGTCTGCTCTGTGATGTATCAGACAGAGCACAGATCTGGGGTTCACTCTGTGATGCATCAGACAGGGCAAAGGTCAATCCTGTGTGTCTGCAGCCTCACCACAATGTGGCCCCTGTGCATGGAATCATGGCACCCAAAAAGAGCCCCCAAATAGCAAGGAGATACCTCTTCTTATGTACCCTTGACCTGTCCTGCATCCTCCTCTGCTATAACCTCGTCCTCCAGGGACACTCCATCATGCACAGCTCGGGCTACCAGCAAATCCGCTGCTCACCTTACCCTCCAATACTGGGAGGGGGGCAAGAAACTCCTGCAGAAGATGCCGCTCTGCCAACCCTCTGGTGCTAGTGCAACCTCCAAAACCCAGAAAGCACCATATTCACCCCCCTGGCAACAGCATGACTGTCCTCCGGTAACAGGCACGAAAGTTTCCTTAAGCGATTGATTTGGGGGATTAAAATAGGAGGCACCAGGGCAATGCATCATCGATGTGCAGGAGCAAGCTATGGGCACCATAGGCTGCCATGAGTTCCTAGCAAGTGCAGGACCTTACGGTAGTCACGTCAGTTTAACAATTTAAAGTGGACCATGCCTCCTCCAATGGGGGAGGAGGGGGCACGGGACGGAGCCCACCAGGGCTCTAAGCTGGGCCCCTCCAGCTTCGGGTCCTGGTGCAGTCGCACCGGCTCCACCGGCGTTAGCTCTGCCTCTGTTTCTAGCCCTTATATGTGGTGGCTGGATTCGTTTTCTCTTTTCAGTTTCAGTGCATATTGTGCAAGTACAGAAAAAATACTTGTTGATCCTGGTGGAAATCAAATGTCACTTAACTTCCTGTGTGCGGAACTGAAATCTCAAACAATGTTATCCTCCTTTCTAGTTTTCTTCTGCAAACTATGTAACCCCTCCATCCTATGTTATGTAGAGGAGGCGAGAGAGGGGCGTTAGAAGGGAAAATCAGGAGTAGTCAGCTTAGAGTGACAACACTGCTCGTTTATAAATACAGCATAAATGAGTGCTGTTACCCTAGGACAGTAGGTGTCACCTACTATCAGCAGGATCACCAGAGGAAAATAAAGGAGAAAAAGCCAGGGAAATAAAAGAAAATGAATGCAGCCAACACACCTGTGGGCTGGTAAGCTGCATTGTATGACATTGTTGTTATTGAGTTTGGATAGGCTTTAAGTCCTGGTCCACACTGAGTGTTTTATAGTGCTTTTCCTGCACTAAACAAATGCTCAAAAAATATGCCCCCCCAAAAATCCCATTTAATTTATATAGCCCTGTTCACATCTGAGCGTTTTGCACAATAACCAAAACGCCTGTCGCTGGAAAAAGTACAAGGTTTTTTTTTTTTTTTGGGCATACTACACCTTTTTTTGGCCCCACAGACTCTAAAGGAAATGATTGATAACGCGTGTTTACTGTATTTTTGCATGCATTTTACGCATGCTTGCTCATTAACTTCAATGAGCTACAATCTGCTCTCAGAAATGTGCAACTTGATTTTTTGCGCACAAACACGTGTAAAAAACGTGCATCAAAAACGCGTGTAGAAACGCATAAAAACACTGTTGCCTAGGTGTGAACCCGGCTTTAGTACAGAACAGATCTTATTGATAGCTGATGATGCCTCAGACATATCTGTAAAGTGTACGATATGCAATCTGAACCCTAAGGGTCTGTTCATACCAGCAGCTGCAGTAGAATGCTGCCATTGGTGTGCAGTTTGAGCTGTGCAGGTGCACAGCTCAAAAGCACGTCACACTGTAGCTCTTTTTTGTCAGAACTTTATTGAAATGTCACAAAGTGACATCTCATTTAGTTCTATTGGCCACAATGCGATGTGATGCAGTGGATAGTGTTTCACAATTTGCACTGAAAAAAGTGCTGCATACAGTACTTCATTTTAGCGCACACCACAACAACACGACGATGTGAATTATGCAGATTGAAAACATGGCAAATTGCCTTGTGTTTGTGTTGGGACTACCCAGCGCACCTGCTGTGAATGGCCCCTTATACATAATAAACATGCATTTGGGCTGCCTATTTATCGTGTTTATATGTTTTCTTGGCTTTGTTACCTGGGCAGCCAATGGCAGTAATAGTTAATTTTTTTTACAGGTTCGCAAGCACATTAATGATCTATATGAAGATCTTCGGGATGGGCACAATCTTGTCTCCCTTTTGGAAGTCCTTTCTGGTGTTAGATTAGTAAGTATTTTTTTGTTTCCTTTTTGTGCTTTACCATTGAGTAGTTCCCTTGTCCTCACAGTTTCATTGCCATGTCCATCAGGACAAGGACCCTGAGGCTCCCCGGAGCCTACGACTCACCCGTAAGCCATCCCGCCGCCTTTTGATGGGAGACGATTCGGAGGACAACCCTGATGATGCTGTATGTGACTAGAACTGCCACTGTGTCAGATAGCTCAGTGTGTGGAAGGATTTCAGCACTGGGCCATCTGTCTATGGGCACAACACAGGAGCATTGTGGGAGGTGGATGTGTGCAGTGTGATTTTAGCATGCGCATGAAGGGAACGTTTTAAACATGTACATGTAATCACATGTGCTTGTTCACATCACCTCCTTTCCTCAGTCACTGCACGGGGTGAATTACAACTAACTTATAGCTTTGTACCCAGAGGAGGAGATAAGAGGCGTAAGGTGTCATCTAATCCACAAATCTTCATTATTGGTTTCTCACCATCCACTACTTCATAGTCTGTTTCTTCTTACTGCTTTTCTCTCCACCTCACAATGCTGTGCACTTTTTTATACACGTTGTACACAACTGTTATTTCTGACTTTTGATTGCCATCCCCTTATGTTATTCTGTCGCCTTTTTTTTCCCATCTCCATTTTTTTTGTCTCTTTTCTTCTGTGTTTTTCGTTAGTGTCCTATAAAAGTCCCTCTCTTTCTGTTCTTTTGCCACCTTATTTCTAACTTTCTTCCCTTTAACCGCTTCTAGTATGCTTGATGCCCAGTTTTCCAGGTTCTTATGCTATCTCTCTATGTTCCTTGTTTTAATTCCTAACAAAGAAAAACTTTACCTTGCCTTGCAGTCCAGAGAGAAAGGTAGGATGCGATTCCACCGCCTTCAGAATGTGCAGATTGCACTGGATTTCCTCAAGCTGCGTCAGGTAAGTCACATGGATGGTGGGCTAAGACTTTTTCTTTGCTCTCACAAAGAAGACACCACTATTTATATTAGATTGATTTTTATTGAGTTCTACAAATTCTCAAGTGGACTAGTAAACGTTTCCCTTTCCTTCCTAATCTAGTTCTGAGCCTGAAGTTTCTCAGTCTAGTTTAAAGTATAACTAAGCCTGTGGCTGTATAAAAAACCCACCATCTTGCAGTAACCTCTTCTGTTACTACTTTTCTGAACTGATGAATGTGTCTATGTCACAGGGAAGTGATGTAATTCGCTGTAATCGCTAGCAGCTGTGTATATATTAGGGAGGTTGTACCACAGCCTTATCTAGAACCTGTGAATAGCTATAAATCCAGTGCTGCTTTAGGTACTACTTCTGTTTTTGGGGCGGATTTTTTTTGAGCTGCCACATCAGGGACATGTTATAGGAGGCAATTTGAAATGGACCAATTAAACAGAGATCATAGGCATGCACACAGAGTGTGCCTAGGCATACCCCAATCACATCAAGTGCAACACCGAAACCGCAACAGCGGGCACCATGTTTTAAGTCACTGAGCCAGTGGAGAGATCACAAAGATCTCTCTGTGAACGACTCGGCGATACCGAGCGCAGCAGCATTTGCCAATTACATTCCTAAGATAACAGCCGTAGCCCTCAGTGCCTGGGAAGCTGCAAGGGAGCGTTGCTGCGGCTTCTCATCCAATCGGTAAGCCGGGTGGGTGGTCACATGACGGAAGAGGTAAGGGACAGTTGAAGAGATGGGAATCTGGGATGCCTCAGGTCTGTGTGTGTGTGTATGTATGTATTATGTATACACATGTATGTATGTTTGTATTTTTGTGTGCACACCCTAATGCAATAGGCCGTGCACGCCTTTGAAGAGATGTGTGGATAGAAACTACCAGCAGGCACAAAGAAAGTAAGAAAGTTGTCGAAAAAGGTGGAGGCAGAGAGGGAGTTTCAAGGAACATTTTAGGTGAAAATATAATTTTTTTTTTTCTCTAGCAGCAAGAGACCATATATCTTCCCACACCATGAGCTACAGTATGTTAAAATGAGCAGGGACAAGGAGGCCACAGGGAAGGAGTACAGCAAAGTACGCACCCCGTCCTTGACATGTCAGAAGGTTCTGATATACTCAGAAAGACCTGCCAGTGAAACTCAACTCAGTGTATATTACTAGATATAGATATTACTGAGTGCTCTTGCAGCATCTGCACAGCCAATTTTCATTGGTTAAAAAAAAGCAAAGGAGATGTGTATTTTTAGGTTTGCATGCATGCTGAATTAAAAAAATAAATATGTAGCAGAAATTGCATTAAAAAGAATAGTCTAGTTCTGCTTTAACATTATATAGTGCAACATATCCTTATTACACATAACATTGTTGTACAATAGCTCTTAAAGCAGCTAGTGAGACAGTAATAAGTCAGCATTAAAAAAAAACCTCCAATATCGTATAGAAGAATTCACCATTCTACATGTTTGTATATAGGTGAAATTGGTTAACATCCGGAACGACGATATCACTGACGGGAACCCAAAACTCACTCTTGGGCTCATATGGACCATAATCCTTCACTTTCAGGTCAGCGAACTGCCAAAGCATGTAGAGTGTTTTACTATGATTGTTATCTTAACAAGCTTCTGTGGTGGAAAAATTGGGGATTTATTAAAAGCAGTGTGGGTAGAAATATAAACTGCAACAATATGATGTTTCTGCATTTATTAGCACACGTTTATATACAATGTATCATAGGGAGATGGTAGTGTGCCAAGGTTTTACCAGAGAGGAAGTGAGGGTAACACTCCAACAGCAACACCTACAGGAAAAAATATGTATTTTTTTTTAGTTGAGTAGTGAAAGACTAGAACCTCTGCCAGATTTTTATTTCTGGCTGTGTCCTGATGTGTTGCTGATTTTCACTCACTTTGGTGAAACCATTGTCAGCAGGACAGGAAGTTTAGAGTTAATCTCTCTAATGGAGCCCTGGATACCAGTAAAACCTAACAGGGGTTCTGACAATTTTTAAATCTATCCAAAACTAGAAAAAAAAAAAGTTTGGGCTTGACATACACTTGCATGCAGAATTCAAGAGCCAGCTGGTGCAGTTGAGCTAGCAAGAAGGGCCAATGAGCAAATGTTTTCGTAAACCTCAAGAACTGGTGTCCGCTGTCATTTTTTAGATGCATTTAGATTTGTTCCACTCTTATTTATTTAGGTTTTAATATAAGACAGTGTTCTAAAAGAGGGTGGTGTAACACAGCATTAGAAAGTAGCTTGTGCATCTCATGTTTTCATGCTTGGGCTGCAATTGTCTGCCTTCCAGACCCTTCCTACCAATAGCTATTGTTTATTTATGGGGGTTGGTTGGCGTTAGGATTCTTGTTAATGAAATAACTGCTTAGAATTTGCATTGTGGAAATAGGAAGGATGACCTTTTATTGTCTTTTGTATCATATAGTTAATTTCTTAGCAAAGTAAATCACCTGCTGTTGTCTTTATGGTTAGATTGGATTCTTTCCCACAGAGTGGATAATATAGGCAGCTGAAGGTCACAGAATCATTGTATAATATATTGCTGGAGGTCACGCACTGGAAGCAGAATGTTTGGCTGAGCATGCATTGTCTTTAAAATCTTGCCTTTTGAACAGTGTTATTCTGTAGAAATGTGGCCAATTCTCTTTATTGGTAACGATTCCTTTTACTTTTGTGAGCTATTTAAAGTAAAGCAATATTTCTGCATAAAGCTGTGTATATCTGTCAGTGTGGTGCACCAAAACATTATCTGAATTCTATCTCTTGAAATTGATTTCAAGGAAATTGCTCAAGCACTTTATCCAAAAATCATGTTTAGTGAGGCATAGTCATGTTTTTTTCCCCTCAAATATAACTAATTTTTATGAATTGAACATTAAATCATAAGGAAAACACAGTATGCTCAATATGGTATGGTACAATGTGTATACATATTGCATCGCAGAGTGGCAGTGGTAGCAAGCCCTATTTGAGGCAGTGGTACTAGGCTCATAGAAAGGAATGTCTTTGTGCAGGAAAGGTATGGAGTATTAGGCATTTTTGGTCTATATATGATGATCTATGTTAACTAAATCTAAGGGTTGTTGGAAATCACTCTGGTGGTCAACCATGAAGTTTGCTATAAGTTTGTTTTTTTCCCCCACGAATTTGGTAGAGTGTCAATATAGAATTTCTCGAAGTCAAAAAATGTCTGTGTCTTTACTTCTTTCTACCAAGTAGTTTCTGTCCATTCTACAATATAAAAATAGTCTATCTAAAAGTCTTTAATTGTCAATGGTTTAGGGTGTATCCATTTGTGCCTTCTTCGCAGCCAGGGGAAACGTTTTTAGTCATTTTCTGCAGAATTCTTGTTCCTCGTTGGTCCAGTATGCCCTGCTTAGGCAGTTTACTTAGTGTTCTGTAGTAGTTCAGTCTTCTTTAGTGTATTGAACAATCGTCATCTAAGATCTTTTCATTTTGGGACTGGCCCAAAAGGCATGATTGTGACCTTCTGGGGTGTAATTGCATTTAAACATTGGGGCACTTGTCTGTCTCTCATAAGATCTGTGTGGTAATATATACAAGTTGGTGTAGACTTTTTATATTTCCAAGTACAAAGTTGCTGTGATGGATTTCCAGGCTGCATTTAAAGAAGAACTCCAGGAAACCTTTTTATTAATCCTTGCAGTGGGGCTACCCCCTGCACGGCAAGGGTTAAAAGAGAAGTATGCGGTAAGTATTTTTCCCCATAGTTCTCTTTAGGGTCACAGGAGGACATATACTAGCGTCCTCCCTTGACCTAATGTCATCTCTGAGCCTGACAAAGGGGACCCTGTTTTGCCCCGAAAGCGCTTGCTAATGAGAGAAGGCATCTGTCAATAAATGAGCATCTAATTGCTGTTATTATCGTTGTTGGAGTGCTGGTGACGTCTTCCTTTTTGTCTCCCTTGACCTAAAGCTCAGTATATAGCGGGCTATTGCCTGCTATATACTGAGAGCGCCGCAGCCGTGACAGATCCCGACAATACTGTCCAGATTCAGCCAGCTGGCTGATTGACAGCTGGCTCTGCCTATCTAGAGACAGAGCCAGCTGTACCTGCCCCCTTCCCTGTCCATTCCTCCAGTCATCGCTGTAGGATCGGAGCGGGGAGGGGAGGGAATCCCTGCAGGGAGCCGTAAGTGACAGTCACCGCTTTCTGCAGGGAGATGATCGGGAAGTGAGCAAGCGACGGTTCGCTCACTACCGCTCAATAGAGTCAATGTGTGGCAGTTTCAATGTCACATGTCGGCTCTAACTATGAGGTTGAGTGTAAAAATCACTCACCTCATAGTTCTCCTTTTTAGGTGCTTGTTTATGTATAGGTTGAAAAGTAAAAAAGTTATACCTGAACTCTGGATCCAGCTTGCTGTTAGACCGGCCCTTCCAGCCTCTCTCCCCCCTCCTCTGCAGTGGTCTAAGGTCCCATAAATCATCACGTCTGTACACTATGTATAGGCATGAGGATGCTGAGGAGCATTCGAATGCTGCTGTGTAGGAGGAGGGAGGCTGGAGGGGAACGTTGTGACAGCTAGCTGTCTCAGAGCTTAGGGTGAATATAGTTTTTGTTATTTCTGCATCTAGACTAAAACAAGCACTTTACCCTTGCAGTGTGGGAGTATCCCCACTGCAAGGGTTACATTGTTTTAAACCTGGAGTTCTTTAAGTAGTTGTGGATGTCCTCTATGGTCCTGGTGGGAAAATGTTGTATCCATTTGCTTACTCGAGCACTTTTTACTGCTTGCCATTGCTGTTTGTGTGGTATGTTTAAAAAAACAGTAACATAGGAAATGAAAAGTGGCATCACAAGTGTTAATGGTGGCAGCAATAGGGAATCATAGAGCTAACGCAAGTTGCCACATTTTGTTTCTGCTAAATCTTCACATGCTGCTCTATGATGTCCGATGAATCGCGCAATTTAGGAATCCAAACAATTGCGATTCATATTTGGTATGATTCTTTACAGCCTAAACAAGCCTTCATATATATTAGATCTAATAAACAAATGTTCAATGTGTCTGATTTGTGAATCGGAATACTGGTTCATGGAGCCTGTCACTGAAAGCCAGAGACAAATTGTTTTTCAATAGCTCCAGTTTATTGGGAGTCCTGGTGACTGGTACCAGTGCAGCCCCCTTAGACCATTTCAGTGTACTGAGACATGAAGCTCTCACAGAAGGCATGCAATGTAATGCTGGGGATTTTCTTGGCTTCTCTGTAAACTAGAATTTACTTGTGTGACTTTGGTAGGACCATCGAAATGTAATATTTGTTAGCAGAGACTGATACCAATAATGGTCATGTCTCTGTATTAGTATGCTGACGATCAATACAATTCAGGCAACAAAACAGCGTTTGCAGTTATATGTCAAATGCAAACCTCTATTTGTTCCGGGACTTCTCTCAGAGACGGGCTACGCAATTCCAAGATGGTTTTTTACATTTTTCATTTTTTTCACCTCTAAATTCCACTGTTCGGTTTATAATTTGAGCATATTTTATTATCGTACAATAAAAATCTATAGACTTTTCAACGACATGAACAGATTCCTGAACTATAATGCATTTGACTAATTATCCAGCATGAGAATGTGTTTAGTCTCTTCATACTTGAAGTTTTGGTGTGTGCATCTGAGGTTCTTTGTATAAGCTTCACGTAGCATCTTTGGCTTTATTGCACAATGCTCTTTACTCCCCTCCCTTCTGAGCCATTTCTCCCCCTCCTCAAGCCATGCTGGGTGGGGTTTAGCTACCTCACTAATACAGAGAAAGCCGCATCCAATCAGCTGTAGGCTTGATGTAAGGTGCCTGTGATCTGAACACTGCAGAGAGATGCAGGGAGATGTCTCAGTCTGTAAGATGTCTGTCTTAGGCATGCATCAGTTGCTGAGATGAGAGGGGAGAATGTGTGGATACATCTAAATTGCAAGCAGAAGGTGATGCTGGGAGGTGCGAGCCCTGTTCCCTCCTGAATGCCGGCATCGTCAATGCTGTTTAAATGCACTGGAGACATGGGGAATTCTGTCAGCTGTGTTAGGAAGCCAAAGGAGCCGAGACCAGGGACAGGGAAGGAGCCCCAGTCTGGAAAGAAAAAAAGACATTTCAGGAGGAAAAAAAAAGATCAGGCAGAAGTAAAGGATGAAAGGAGTCCACAGAAGGTTGAAAACCTAGAGGCCCAGGATTTATATAGCAATACACCTGCACCCTTTGAAGATGCTGGAAGCGCACACTCTGTACATGAGGATGAGGAAGAAGGGGGGAGAGTGCTTCAGGTGAGAGAGACATTGCATGGGATTGTGCACAGAGCTCAGCTACTGACTCCCTTATCTACTCTGGAATCCCCACCGACAGGAACCACGGTTATAGCTCGCATAGTGGACAACCCAGCAGACGAGCAGCAAAGATCAATCAGCACCATGGTGGGGTTTGACTGTGCCGGTAATAGCAGAGCTGTTCTGATTCCCATCAGTGAAGGAGCTCTGGAAAACGCTCCCAGTATCAGGACTGTCTTTGGTGTAGAAACTGACCTCAAATTGTCTTTCCAAGGAAAGGTTAATACTCCAAAAGCAATACCCAGCACCCAGTCGTGGGGACCTGACCTTTCATCTTCCGGATACTGCAGTGAGCCCCTGTCACAGTCAGAGAAGGTGGGAATTCTCAGAGCACCCTCCTGTTCGTCATACTCTCCTCATTGTACATTGCCATTTAATATTCTGGAACAGTACACAGACATGCACTGTCAGACATGATTTTCATTCACTGGGATCAGTTGTTGCATTCATTTGTTTCAAAATGTTTTCTATTAGGATAATAATGCAGTAGTAAACTCATTTCTGGGGCAAGCTTGCTAAAAAATGATCTCAGCATAAATTCAGAGCATGTAGTTGGTGTGAAACCTCACACTTTAATTTATGCATTGTGAAGAGAGAAGGAACTGATAAGGTTTTGTGATCTCACTGTCTGCAGATTTCCGATATTTATGTCAGCGGGGAATCAGGAGACATGTCTGCCAAGGAGAAGCTGCTCCTATGGACGCAGAAGGTAACGGCAGGATATGTTGGGGTGAAATGCACCAACTTTACTTCCTGCTGGAGTAATGGCAAAATGTTCAATGCCATAATACACCGGTATAGGTAGGTACACCTTTATTTCTTGTGGTCTTACTATGTGCGGCTTACTGTAAGGAAGAGGTCTAAGCTTTTGTGTTTTTGCCTTTAGACCTGACTTGGTAGACATGCAGAAAGTAGAGATTCAGAGTAACCGGGAAAACCTGGAGCAAGCATTTGAAATAGCTGAGAGCCTGGGTGTCACTAGATTATTGGATGCTGAAGGTATGTGCAGCTTTAGTGGAAGCCTCTGCACCTTTTATAGGAAATGGCTGGTTTTTCTAATTTATTTATTTAATGTTCTCTTTTAGATGTGGATGTAGATTCACCAGATGAGAAGTCTGTGATCACATATGTCTCTTCTATATATGATGCCTTTCCCAAAGTCCCGGAAGGAGGAGAGGGGGTCAGTGCCACTGTAAGTTCTCATCATGACATAAGTACTGAAAGACCGATGTGCTCAGTGCATATCTTTTTTTAATTTATTTAGTTGATTAGAATAAAAATATGAACATGAATATGATGTTACTTAGAGGCCTCAGCGATTGGCAGTTAGCTGCTTACACCTGTGCTCTGCTTTCTTTTTGTAGGAAGTGGATTCTCGCTGGCTGGAGTACCAGGAAAGGGTTATGTCCCTTACACAGTGGATCCGACAGCATGTACTACTGATGTCTGACAAATCATTCCCACAGAACCCTGTGGAGTTAAAGGTATTTTAGATGGCACAAGTTATCTTCTACAGAAGGTCTGCCTCTGAACACAGTATACATTCATGCATGGTTTTCATTTTTATTTTATTTTTTGCTTTATAGGCACTTTATAATCAGTATTTACATGTAAAAGAAACTGAAATTCCTGCAAAAGAGCTAGAAAAAGCCCAAATACAGACGTTGTATCAGATGTTACAGGTAAATATTTAGATTTCTTGTCTGTTCTCCAATCAGTTGCTGACTTTTGTTATTTCCATGATTTCTCTTTCCAGAAGATAATTTTTTTCTACAGTATGTTGTCCTACCCACCTTTTTCTTGATCTAGCTCTGCACATATTGTACTCATTACTCTCCCCTCTTCTGTATCTTTTCCCCTTTCTTACCTTCAGTTGACCATACAGTGCACCTTTGGTTATTTGGCTCATTAGTGCCTTTTTAGGCTCCTTTTACACAGGCTGCGTCCGTCCTGATCAGCAGAGTTCCTGTGCCCAGATTCCCTTCTTAATCGGGACAATAAAGAATAAATATCACCTTTGTGACATCCATGTCTGTTCAGTTTTTTCTTCCATCTCACGATGGTGGAGAAAACTGAACTAAACAGTCCCATCTTAGGTACCAGTTGGATGCAAGTGGACATGTGTCCATTTACATGTAATTACTTTCAATCTGTGGTGTTCGGGTCCGACAATACAGAATTCTCTTCCCTTGTATTTTTTATGGATGTAAATGGATGCACGTCCCTTTACATCCAGCTACCCATAGAGTTACCTTGGATTTTCAATCAGATACACCTGATTAATGGATCGGAATGCAGTGTGAAAGGTGCCTTAAGGTGCCCATACACTGTACGATTCTCATACGAGAATCGCGGGAAATCCCGCGTCCCTAAGCGGGTCGGGCTTTCGATGATCGCAAGTAAGATCTGCCTGTCCAAGATGGGCAGATCGTACGAGCTTTTAATAAGCTTACGACCATCGCAAGACAAAAGTCTTGCGATGGTCGTAAGGTGTATGGGCACCTTTTAGAGTTATTTGAACCCTGCATAGGTAAACCTGTCTATGATTACTAGAGTTTGAGACTGGACTATAACCAGTGTGCCATGCTGTCTTGTACTGTGGCCTATAAAGCATCATTCACACAGGAATCGGCCGGCACGTAGAGCTCTGGCCGTATCGGGCAGCTCCCGGCAAAGGACAGGTGCTGCGTGTGATTAGTACGTAGCCCCTGTCCTTCTCTGTGGGACTACGGGGCCATACGCCCCCCTACGCTTACCTCAAGTGCAAGATTTCAGTTTTGGGTGCTTTGTCCTTCAACATAATAGCAATACAGGCAGAAAGAAAATTCCTATGAACACAGATCTTCATCTTTCTGGGCAAAGTGGAGCTTTCATGTGAGTTTTTTTCCCCTCCTGATGAAATTATTTAATCATTTATGTTTTTGCTTTTCTTACCTATGTTAGTCTTGGATTGAATTTGGCCGCTTCAAGCTCCCACCATCCTTTCATCCGAATGATGTGGAGGAACTGTGGGGAAAACTTATACTATCCATGCTGGAGAGGGAGAAAGTCCTACGACCAGCAGTGGAGAGGTAGGTTTTCTAGTGCCTTTTGTGGATACTTTTCCTTTTTCACTCTGTGCATTAAGCAACAATAATTTGTCTTTATACACCTGCAGACTTGAACTGCTCCTGCAGATAGCAAACAAGATCCAGAATGGCTGCCTGACTTGTGAAGAGAAGCTGACGCTAGCGAGGAATACACTACAATCTGTAAGTGACAATGACACTGCAGTTGAAATGTATTGAGTAATATACATTTGAATTTTACTTTAGGTTCAGGTTGCTTGTTATTTTTTTTAATTGTACTGGACATTAGCTTGTGTTATATAAAATTATGAGAAATCTTGTTATATTTGTTAGCAGTAAAAAGATTGCAATCCTGAATAGTGTTTTTAACACATTTTCAGGTGTTCCAGATGTGCCATGTGCACCAATTTTTGAAACATCCTGTTTTTATACATGCCGAATTAGTTCACTTTAATTTCTGTTGCAGATTGAACATGTACCTTTTTTATCATGTCCTAAGGCGGTATTTTGCTATTTTGTAGGATGCAGCTAATGTTGAATGTGGCCTGAAAACTCAGCAAGAAGAAGAGGTTCTCCTGTTCCTTCAGGAGAGTGAAGGCCTTCTGCGACAGCTGCAGGCAGATGTGCAGATCCTGCGAGATGAGAAATACTTCCAGGTGGAGGAACTAGCTTTCAGGTAATACCCCATAAGTGAGTTGTTTGAGTTTTAACTAGGAAACGATTGTTAAATGTGCATTGTGTAAAATGTCATATGGCCTTGGTGATATCTCAAAGATATTTTCCTTCTCATAGGAAGGCACAGAGCAGTTGGGTAAAGCACATTTCCCTGGAGCCATGCAACTAAAAAAGATGTCTTTGCATGCCTTTTGTGTCTTTTTCACTCTTATTACCGTAGTAATGTTTTTTTTCTTTTTCAAAATTGAAGGGCAAAGAGTACATTGACATGTAGTGACTTCTTGGATTCATTGTGTGTGTGTGTGTGTGTGTGTGTGTGTGTGTGAGAGAGAGACCCCGTTTTTCCCCGGAAATAAGACACTGTCTTATATATATTTTTGGCTCAAAAAAACACACTAGGTCTTATTGTTTTTTTTTTAATGTACAACAATCCACACTTATTCATGTACAAAAATAGAGTGATCAGTGCAATCAGGGGTGCCGTACCTTTCCAAGAGCAGTTTGGTAACCAATCGCTGGCCACAATGAGAGAAGCGTGCGTTCACTATCGATTCCTCACAGGCTGTTTGCATTTGGTATCACTCCGCCTGTGATTGTGACTTCTAGTTATGCCCCATGCAGAGCCCACTTGAGATCACATGGAGCCCACCTGAGGGTGACCCTGCAGAACCCACCATATACTCTCTATGGTGGGCTCTGCAGGGTCACACTCATTACCTGTCCGCCTCCTCTTCCTGCACGATCGCGGATGGGCCCCGCCTCCTTCTCCGTTGCCAGGCCCCCACCTCCTGTCGGTGATCTGAACAGCAGCGCATTCTTCTTCACAGTCACCAGTGAAAGCCACCAGCATAAGATGCCATAGCGGCCCGCACGGCATCTTGCCCGCCCGGTGTCCCGGGCCCCCTAGTGGCCGCCTGGGTCGTGGACCTTCTTGAGTTTGACTTTTGACTCTGCACAGGAAGAGAAATCTGGAAGGTGACAGCAAATTGAAGGCATGTGGTTCAACCAGTGTAATAGACATTTCTTTTTTTATTCTGTACCTTGATGGCTACAGTTAGGTACATGTAAACTCAGTGCTTAAGTTCTGTTGCATAACACAATGCCAGACCAACCTGCTAACCTTTTACGAAGAGGTGAGTAGACATCTGGATGGAGGGAGGGCGGTGGACGTAGTGTATCTGGACTTTTCCAAAGCATTTGATACGGTGCCACATAAACGCTTGTTATACAAGCTAAGGGATATGGGCATAGATGAATTAGTGTACAAAGAGCAGGGCTCAAAATTTCAAGTCCTGAGCTACTAGCCAGGCCTCAAGTCCTGAGCTACAGCGCAAAGGTCAGTAATGTAACACACAGAACAGAGGTCAGAGTGACGCACAGCGCAGAGGTCAGAGTGACGCGCAGCGCAGAGGTCAGAGTGACGCGCAGCGCAGAGGTCAGAGTGACGCGCAGCGCAGAGGTCAGAGTGACGCGCAGCGCAGAGGTCAGAGTGACGCGCAGCGCAGAGGTCAGAGTGACGCGCAGAGGTCAGAGTGACGCGCAGAGGTCAGAGTGACGCGCAGAGGTCAGAGTGACGCGCAGCGGTCAGAGTGACGCGCAGAGGTCAGAGTGACGCGCTCAGGTCAGCGTGACGCGCAGCGCAGAGGTCTCCGCAATTTTCACTCGCCATTTGCGAGGGGGCGAGTGGAAGTTTTGAGGCCTGCAAAGAGTATCGATAAACGGCACCTTTTCAGACTGGGCTGAAGTCATGAGTGGCGTGCCTCAGGGTTCTGTGCTGGGCCCCATGCTTTTTAACCTGTTTATTAATGATATCGGGGAGGGAGTGAGTAGTCGTGTCTCAGTGTTTTCTGATGATACAAAAATTGGGAGGGTAATAGACACGGATTTAGATGTTATAACATTACAGGAGGACCTCGATAAACTAGGGGAGTGGGCAACTGTTTGGCAGATGAAGTTCAACGTCGATAAATGCAATGTAATGCACTTTGGAGTTAAAAACAGGCAAATGGACTATACACTTATGGGTGTTGCCACTAGGTCATTATAGACTGCAGATTGAATAACAGTGCGCCGTGCCAGACTGCTGTGAACAAAGCAGAGTCCTGTCTTGCATTAAGAAGGGAATGCATTGCTAGGACAAGTCTGTAATTTTACCACTTTACAGATCACTGGTTCAGCCACATCTGGACTATGCGGTCCAGTTTTGGTCACCAATACTAAGAAAAGATGTCCTTGAGCTGGAAAAAGTCCAGCGGAGGGCAACCAAACTCATTAAGGGGTTCGAGGACCTGAACTATGAAACAAGGTTGTTAAAATTAAATATGTTCTCTTTCGAAGTTAGGAGATTAAGGGGGACATGATTATCTTGTATAAACTGTTCAATGGCGACAGCAACATTATTAACAAACTATTTACAGTTAGCTCCGTAACAAAGACCAGAGGGGCACCACCAAAAATTGGCGCAAGGGGTTCTTCACAGTTAGAGCGGTTAGGGTCTGGAACTCTCTGCCGCAGGAAGTAATTTCAGCTAAGAGTGTGGAATCATTCAAGAAACTCTTGGACGAGTTCCTTGGAGACGTAACATAAAGGGGTACAAGTACTCTTAAAGAGCAAAATCACACATGGACTCATACACACGCACACACCAGATCAAACATAAATGCATACGCGCAATAGGTTGGACTTGATGGACTTATGTCTTTATTCAACCTCAAATACTATGTAACTATGTAACAATGTGCATGTTTATAAAACTGAATGATAATGCTCCTTTTTGGAAAGTATTTTTATCAGAGGGAGTACTTGCCTATTAGATCAGTGCCATTTAATATTGTCTTTTTTTTTTTTTTTTTTTTTTTGATTTTTTGGT